CGGGGATAAAAATGCTCCGTTTGATAAACTTTTTTTATCTGAATACTTGATAGACGATTCACGACTTAGTCCAGATAAGGTTCTGTCGTCAGGAAGGCCGAAGGCTCCTCCTGGGGAGATTTTCGGATCAAGCGACAAACGAAGAAGAAAAGTCGGAGGCAATCCTAGGTTTGAAACCATAGGATTCATATTTTGATTTTGTGGCAGGTTATTTGGCGAGCCGACTAGAAATTTCGATAGATTATAGGGCATGCTTGGAATATTAGGAAATAAAGGAGAATTGAGCCAATCCCATGATTTAACCGAAAGTGAATAGCCAATTTCATCTTTGGCTGAATTGTTTGAACTAATTCTAACCATAGTCAAACACACATAGGCATCGCATGGTATTTCAACTTTGCAGAACTTGGAATAACTAGTAGGAAGGTTAGAGTGATCCCAGGGACAAAGGCATTCCTGCGTTTGCGTTCCAGGAACAACAGCACAAAAATCAGAGGCGGCAGTAGCCTTTGCCTGACGTAGCAATGATTGCTTATCTCCTTCAGCGACCTGGCAGGAAGGAGACCGCAAAGAATTAGAACAGCAATTTGTAGCATAGCAGTCGTGTGCATTTGGAATAACGAGTGGTGGATAACCTTTGATGCACGATTTACCGACGCGTAATGGATGACCACTGAAGGGGGCAATAAGTTGAACATATCTAGATAATGTGCATTCACAAAAATATTTCCTGCTAGCTAGGCAGGCGTCTACCCAAGAATGGTATGCAGAATTGGAATGAAATGAGGTTGCAGATGAATTCGTTGGTAAGCAAGTTGTCCTCCAAATACACAATTCTGAGGGTAAATTGGTAATAATCGATCCATTTTTGAGTTCATATGCATAAGTATGCACAGTGATATAGGACGTGAGAATGACGAATAGAAGATAAATTAACTCATATAGCATAGCCCAAAAAAAAAATAAGAAAGAAAGAAAGCCACAAACAGCCTTATATGGCACAGCAAGAGACGTTTCAACGATGTTATTTGAAAAGGAACCATTAAAAACAAATGTTTAAAACATCTGTTATTAAACGTTATAACACAACAACAACATTAAAATTAATTTAAAACAGCACAAAAAAGACCTAAAACGTATATTAATTTTTTGTTATGCAATACAAGTTACACGTGGCTACTTTGAACGTTTTTACTTTTTTTGTAATGCGTAGTTTTTTATTGTCAAGGTTTACCCGCCTTATAAATTATTCCAACACATTATTTTAGCTAAAATGGACTAAAAATCTGTACATAATCTTTTGTTGTTATATATTTTTTTGTTAACAACAAAATTTGCTCTCCTGTGTCCTTGTTTCTTTCAAGTTTTCTGTGATCATTCGACTATTAATCTTCGAAATGTCCAAAGAACCTTACGATGGTCCTGATATTGTTAAGAGGTAAGTTGGAGCCCTTAAATTAGCATATTATTCTTAACACATACGTACATTTACATGCCTCATACATGAAATCCTCTGGTTAATTTTTTATATTAATTCCATTTAAAATTTCCAAATTCACTGGC